CGCCTTTGATGAGGCAATTGATGTGCCGGAGCACCGGTTTGGGCGACTCGTGGTACTGGAGGCTCATGTCTTGGAAAGCGATTTGACCCGTTTGTGGCCAATCGGGCGCCGGCTTGGCGTCGGCCGTCGAGTCCAACTCAGCCTCGGGTGCGATACGCGAGTACTCAAGCATTCGCTCGACTGCTGTCATATAGGACTCGAGATCCGCTGAGCACCGGACCCCCCATTGAGTCATTCCCGTCAACATTAACGCTGCGATAAAATAATTTCATTAAATGACAAACAAATTCAAAACTAATTGATAAATACCTTGAGATAGGATGAGACCGGCGTCTCCACCGGGAAGGCCTACAAAATGCAATAAAAAATTGTTTGTTATGTTTGACGGATTCGTAAATGAGATGCCTTTCCATACCCTTGAAAGTCATAATGAATGTGACGATAGAACTGATATAAATAATGCAAATCCAGTCCATGAGTATACCGAAGCCCCGGGAGGTGCAGACAAACATGAAAAAGGTGGCGCTGTTGTCATTCTGGTAGCGCTCGAACTGTCTCTCAAATAGCTTTTCGGCCCCAAAGGCGCGGACAGTCGACAGGCCGGTGAGGGTTGTGCTCACGTGCGAGTAGATTGGACTCCGGGCTATGGATAGGAAATGGATTATAATTTTGCAAATTCTTTGCATTTCATACACAATCCCTCCAATCGTTTGATATCTCGCGCGGATCTGATGTAGAAATATCTGCAGACAAACACTACGGACACCAGAAAAATGGCCGGAAATATGAGATACCAATTGACCACTGAATTCATGATTAGTATTCCCAATGCATTAGTGACTGTCTGTTTGGGGAACAGGTATTAAATTTTAAAATAATTAATAAGTTCGTAACAAATGAGACAATTCTGTGATACCATTTGGAGATCATATGCAGTGGATGGCAGGGCCTCGTCTACAATACCGGTGTCTTTCGTGAATCGATTCAGTATTCTTCCTATAATTGAATAAAAAAATTATTATTCAAAAAAATGTTAAAACATTTCTGTTGCGGACAGACCTACTGGCGAGCTGTCAAACACATGAATGGGTGCTCTTAAGAGCGAATAGAATATTCTGTTGTGAAGTGTGATCGACGAGCGCATACACATCACGAAGAATGAGGTACTTCTGGCCAATGCCGTCAGGAATAGGGCTCCGATAAGACACGAGTAGATTATGACATTCATGTCCTGATTGACCACTCCGTCCGGTTTGTCCACTTCGTTAGTCCTGTCAAACAAACCTCAGTTGAAAAGCATTTAAAATTCACGTTTTATGTATCGATTCTCACCACCAGGTCAGCCAATAATCGCTTCCCTGGTAGAGGGCCTGTGAGATGACAGTTGTGGCCAAAGTGATGGTCATAAGTATGGGTCCGGCACCGGCCTTAACGTACTCCCAGTAAACACTGCCGCTAATGGATCCGATCTCTTTGGTCTCCTCTTTCATTTTGGGCTCGTCTTCATCTAAACCGTCCATCGATTTGATCTCATCGACGGCCGCCTCTGAATGGCCGCCAATACTACTGGCGATGGAGGGGCTGATAGATATGGCCCGATTCAAGTGTCGCAGAGCTATGTTTTGGTCTGTTTTGTCATTTTTGGTATTTTTCTTATCGTTGGCTTTGGTTTCGCTTAATGTGACGAATGACATGAAATTAATGCCCGCTTTTGTCAGCTCATCATAACTGCCCAAAGCTATACATTTGCCCTCCTTTAGCACCAGTATCTTATGGGCGTCTCTGAGGAACTGGATCTGATGTGTCACTAATATGCGGGCCTTTTCTCTCAGGAATTCCACAATACATCTAAAAATTATGAATAAAAAGTTGTCTTTCGTTGAAATAATCAAAAGTTTGGTTTACTTTTGAAAAATATGTTTAGCGACCGACGCGTCGACGGCCGACAGGGGGTCGTCCAGTAGGTAGACATCCGCCTCGTGGTATAGGGCACTGGGATTTGAATTAATCCGCAAATAAATATAAATTAAATATAAAATAACTGTTGTATCAAACCGTGCCAAGGTGATTCTCGCTTTTTGACCCCCGCTTAGAGATACACCGCGTTCTCCCACAAGAGTTTTGTCACCGAATGGGAACAGTTTGAAGTCCCTCTCGAGAGCGCACACGTGAACGACTCGATTGTATTTCTGTTCGTTATATTCAGTGCCGAACAGAATATTCTCTCTGACGGTCGACATGAAAGCCCACGATTCCTGTGGGGCGTACGACACCCTTCCCGACACTCGCAGCGAACCAGACTCCAGGGTCAGCTCATTCAGTATTGACATCAGGAATGAACTCTAATTGTAAGTGTAAAACAACATTAATACAGGTAAATTAAATTTATGAAATACATACCTTTCCACTGCCTACCGATCCGATAACAGCTAATAATTCGCCGGATCTAAGGTCAGCAGTAATTTCATGAAGTGTTGGTTCAGGAATTTCCTGCAAAATTAAACTATTTCTTAATTTTATTTACAAGTATTTGGTGCCTAAATAAATTCATACAGTATTCCAACGGGCGGTCATGCGATCCATAAAAATACCCTTTTCTTCGTTATCATTATTATTCTTTTCATAGCCTTTCCTAATGAGTGACTTCTTGATGTCTGTTATATCATCACTTGAGCCATCAGTTACCATTTGGCTATCGAGTTCATCAAGCAATAAAAATGTCTACAATTTAATAAAAATTATATATAATTTAGAAAATCATAACTCAATTAGCATTTGAGTGCAAACCTTCACCCGATTACATGAGACCAATAGCTCGGCGGTGGTGGCGATTCCCTGCGGGAACTGTTTGGTGACAGTAATCCTCATAGTATTAAAGTAAGCCATTGTGACGAACACAGCCTCAGCGGTGAGCCGTCGGCCTAAGTAGATATAAGTGACAAAACAGGCGAACAGTACTATCTTTGAGGCCACGAAATAAAACGATAGATTCACTGCCTTTAGAAAACTCGAGTGTTTTATTTTGATTACTTCCTGTCTATTGGAGAGATAATCAAGTTTTGCTTCAAATTGTGAGTTTATGTCTAGAAAATCAAATACAAAACAAGTAATGTTTTCAATGATTACTTTCGGGCCAATGCAACCAACTGTGCGAACGGCTTCTCCCAGGTATACATCTTAATGACTCGCATCCCAGTTATGATTTCGTTCATAACCCGGATCCTATTGTCCGTCAACTTTGCAGTACTTCGGCGGACACTCGCAAAACTTTTACCCATCACTCCCTGGAATGGTATGAATAGTAAGAGTACTGTCAGTCCCGCCAAACAGGCATAAGACAGGTGTTCCCAAAGTAGGTATAGTATGAGTGTTGTCTGTAGTGGTGCCACAACCCAGGAATGGGCAGAGAATGCAAACTAGTTTTACAAACAAATGGTTATTAAACACACGGAATATTCTGTTTCATTGAAATGATTGAATACATCATCAATTCTGTTGACATCATTGGACATCAGATTCAATATCTGTCCGACAGTTGTCTTCCCTAATGCCGTACGACTCAAACGCATTGACTGTCAAAATAAGCATTAAATTTAAGTTATATTTTGTACAGAATTATTCTGTTGACATCATTGGACATCAGATTCAATATCTGTCCGACAGTTGTCTTCCCTAATGCCGTACGACTCAAACGCATTGACTGTCAAAATAAGCATTAAATTTAAGTTATATTTTGTACAGAATATACCCTGAATATGCGGGTATAATCCGCGGATTATATGAGAAAAAAAGTGATTTTTCTGAAAAATATAACGGGGCGTACTATACGCGGATGCGTATAATGTGAACAAAAAATATTATTTTCAAATTAATATTTATTCATAAATTTTTGGCACCAACTCTTGTTACCACTGAAGTCTGTTATATTAACTCAAACACAACATGTTTTAATTTTTTTAAACATTTCTACAAATAATTACAGTTTCATCTATACCAGATCTGTCCAAGGAGTCAAATTCAGAGTCAAACTCTCACACGTTTTTAATATCTTTCATTAGTATACATATTAATAGAGTACACATTAGTGTGAGTGAAAGATATAAAGTATTAAATAAAATTATAAACTGTAATATTGAAATAAAGTATTTTTTTAGTATTTTTATGTTTTATATATTGACTAACTCATAGAAATGTATATGATTAGACTCCATTACTAGAATTCTCAACTACTTTTAACCTCTAATCCTATACTAAAAAATCAATATTCAAATGTCTAGAAATTACACATTTTCAGGTGGCTTTGAATACTGTAAAAATAGTAATAATATTTGTGTTTGTTAAGAGTTTTATCTACTGATAATCTATATGAAATATATAAATTATGTGCCATATATTTTTTGTTTTTTAATATTTAAGACAGCACTGATCTATACTGTAAGCAATATACGATATTTCAAACTTTGTATGCACATATTTGAGTATTACAGTTTATGCGTACTATACGCCGATACGTATTATACGAGCAAAAAACACAATTTCTCGATAATTACTGACTGCGGATTATACGCCGCATACGTACTATACCCGCATATTCAGGGTAGTATTTAGTAAATAAAACAGTGAAACAAACCTTTTTATACATGAGAGCACAACAGGCGACCCTCATTCTCATCCCAAACTTCATGACATAACATATATTCAAGTGATTGAATGTCACGAAAACGG